TTCCAAATTTGCTCAACCTATACCTTCAATTCAGCCTTCAAGTTGAATCCTCCAATAGGTAGCTGGTAGCATCTTGTGGTCTTTTGTATTTGGTGTTCTGAGATCATAAGATGTTTAAAAGCAATATTTAGTGCTATGATTAATACATTATCTCATGGCTAATGGTGTCCTGTGGTGTCTGGAGAAGTCTTTGTGTAGAGCTTCAAGTGTCTGGAATCTCAGGAAAAAAACCCAGCCTGTGCAGCCAACACTCCCGTATTGGCAAGCAGCAGTTTCTTTCCCTGTTAAGATTTTTAAGGACCGTGCATTAAAACCAGCGCATGCTGTTCTAATAATCTTTTTAAATGCGAATCAAAAAAAGCTAATGTTGTACCTGATTTGCATGCGCTAGCAGACCGCTTTTTATTCCCTCCCTGGCTTTGTAAACCCACGGTTGCTGGACACGGGTGGCGGTGATGGACAGGACGATTCTGAGGAGTTGGAGGTGGCTGCAGGCAACTGTCCCAGTACATAGAACTGTCCTTTCGGGTTTCATCTGGGTAGGTCCCCCAGGACCTCTGAGTTGCTGTCCATCACCTCTCTCCTTCCCCCTCTTCTACCCACAGTTGTAGCGTGGGTTTTTTTGGTTTACCAGAATAGTAGAAGTGGGTCTAGCCCTTAGCGCTGAGGCCTAGAAGAAAAAACCCCACACCACCAACCACCAATTTTTAGCATTGTTGGGCTGATCAGAAGCTGCTGCCGTCTCAGAGTTAAAAAACAACCACAAAGTGTCAGGATGATCTTGGGAACCTGATATGCCTCTACCCAAGTTATTTTATCTCCAAATGAACCCCCCCCACCCCCCAAATGCTCCCATCTGTATGCCTTTATTATCTGTCAGGTCTTGCAGGCTGAAGCAGCTGATCCCAGTCCTGATCCCAACTGTTCTGTCTTCCATTGGGATAACTCTGTTACTTGGGACCTTCCGGAGATGAACAGGACAAAGACATGAAGTGTTAGTGCCTGCCTATCAGGAGAAAAGTTTATCTTGAGAAAATCAGCTTTGAAATTTGAGTGGTCTAATGAAGGTGGTGATTAAACATCTTGTGCTTTCTTTTTCATTTAGTCTCACTCTTAATGGCAATGGTGCAAAGCCACATCCTGCACCATGATGAAATAAAGCCACACTGTCAGCTCCTCCCTTCAATAATGGAGCACTGCAATACCGAGTAGTCACAAAGAAGGTTCTAATACCACAGGCGGTTTTGGAAATGCAGAAATAAAATACTGACCTCAGGCTGAGCTTCAGTGTTGGGCATTTTGATGTCCAGCTCTGTGCAGCAGCTCGGGGCGTTTTGTGCAGCAGGGAAACTTTTTCTCATCGCAGAAGCCTGGCTGGTTTGAGTCCATGTTACCTATTTGGGGTATACGGGCAGAGGACATCCTATTTGCCGTGCACTACATAGGCTTCGCATGCTCTTGAGCAAAAGGTCTCTCTGTCTTAGGAGAGCTGGGTGGGCAGGAGGGCAAAGGGCGGGACGGCCATGTGGCTAACGGGATGCCTGCGCGATGGGTGCCTCGGGCACCTTTGCAGCTGACACCTTCTGAGTAGGAGGGTAGGAGTGGCATGTGAACCTAGTGGGAAGGTCAGTGGGGTTTGCTATAGTAGAACTTTCCACTTCCTCAGAAACTTGCGGGTAAGAGAGCTGGGCACTGGAACGGAAAAATGGTTTCACCAGTCACCTAGGTGTGAGGCTAGCTGGTGCGTGTCCTGGGGTGGTAGGTGGGTTTTATGTGTGTGGCCTTAGCTCCCGAGGACGCTCTCTGGGGAAGGATACCTACGCATTAGTGCTAATTTAGCCACAGGTATGGTCTTCCTGTTGCTGGCATTTCAGTGGGTTTTGCTCACAGGTAGGAGGGGAAAGAGATGAGCCCAAACCAGCTGGTGTAGGAGGTGCCGCTGTTTGGAGTCATGGACGCTGCTGGGGTGTCTTTAAAGGGAAGTGAGCATGCCCAGCCTGCCGCGGAGCTCGGAGGCTGAGTACGTGGTGAAGGGGCAGAGAGGAGTAGAACAGAAGACCAGAATTGATGTAACGAAATCTCCAGGGGGAATTAAAACCCTTAAAGGAGGGGCTCAGAGTTGGGAGAGGAAGCAAGCTTTGTTTTCATGAGAACTTGTACTTAAATACTTGGGGTTTTTTGGGTTTTTTTTTTTAGTAATAGATTTTTCATGAGAAACTTACACTGCTGCTACTCCAGGTTTAAAGATCCAGGCCTTGTCTAATTGCATAGCTGAGTGTTTAATTCCTTGTGTGTTTAAAGAGGCACAGCCACCTGATCTGGACAGAGGCAGAGGCATGACAGATACTGGTGATTCCTACACTCATATGAGAGTGGGGAAAAGCTACAGCTGAGCACACAGCGAACAACTCTGTGTCAGGATTTATTCCAGAATAATTATTCATTTAAAAATTGTAGCCTGAGATAAATATATGAGAACTGACAGCTGAGAGGCAGGAAAGGAGCAGAAAGAGGGGATAGATGTCTGGGAGTTAGAGACTGAGTGTAACAGGAGGAGGTTGGGTGAAGGACTAGATTGCATTATTGTGCACTTTTCCTGTCTTATGATTAATAAATTGGGCATGCCTGATGTGATGAGAATGCTAGTATTATTTTCTTCTTTATTAATTTATATGCACTTTTTTCCACTTCTAGCTCTCTTAAAGTCAGGGTAAAAGATACTGTGAGCAGGGAGTGAGGCAGCACCTTCAGTGGAAAAACTGTTGTGCTTGGGTGTGGCTTCTTTTTTTAATGTGAGATTACTAGATATAGTATTAGAGCAGAATAGCTAGTAATAAAGGAAGCAGCATTTGCAATTCATTGAGGTTTGTGCTACGCCCACTGTACTTAGCAATCCTCTTTACCATGAGTTACACTTAGCAGGGTGATAGTGGAAGCTTCAGTGAATTTTGGGTACTGCATCCATTTTGGCTAATGTAGTCATCCCACAAGAAG